GGTCACGTGGCTCTGGACAGCAGGGAGGGGCGAGGTGACCAGGGCCGTGCTGACACTGGGGCCCTGGAGCAGGCTGCTGTCTCCTCCATGCTCGGCCAGAGGGGAGGGTGGCTGGTGGACAGCGGGCCTCCTGGTGGGCACGTGCCCTCAGGCTCTTACTTGTGGAGATGTCTCACGGAGGTGCTTTCTGCCTAGGTCACCCGTGTGAACAGAGAGGGCGAGAGGCCAGCGTGCTGACACCTTCCAGGCTGCGGGTCATCTCGAATGAGGGAGCTGGCCGCTTCGACGGAGGCAGCCTCCTCATGCGCGGGGCCCCGAGACGTGAGTGGGTGGGTGGGTGGTGCGTGGGTGTGTTTGGCGTGGGGTAGAGCACACCGAGGCAGAGAAGGCTGCACGTGTGCAGGTGTGTGAGCGTGTCGTGTGCCCCTCTGGACCTGGGCGCAGAGTGGTGGCCGCCAGTGCCCCTGAGTGCCCGCCTCCTGGGCCTGCGGCCACTCGGTTCACCACGTTGGGCAGGCCCAGCGCTCTGGCCCGGCCTGGCAGCCTGGTATCGCGTAGAGAAGCTTAACCCTACGAGCGGCCTGTTGTGGGCGGCTGCTCCTCTGTGGGGAACCGGAAATGGAGGAGAGTCAGGAGGAACGTGGGCCGAGGTCAGAGCTCCTCCGACTTGTGAACGGGAGGGCGTGAGGGGACAGCTCTGCAGTCACAGGAAAGAATGGCCACGTGGCCGCATCTGCTCCAAAAGTGAACTTTGACCTCTGGCTCCTCTGAACCTTCTAGGGGTGAAAAACGTGGTCCAGGCACTGAAGCTGGCAGATGTGGACAGCGAGCTGGCCGCCATGCTGCTCACGCCCCTGCCGCCGGGGAGCAAGGGGCCCCGGGGCGCCGTGCGGGAGGGGGACGCGGTTCGCAGGCGCAAGCTGGAGCGGATGAGGGCTGTGCGTGCGCAGGAGGCCGGCAGCGAGCGGGGCTGCCGGAGGAGCGTGCTGGTGAGCACTCCCTGCTCGTCCAGCCAGAGGGGAACCAGCCTGGCCAGCGGCCCCGCTCCACCGGGAAGGTCTAAGCCCCCCAGGGAGGCCCCTGTGGAGCAGGGCCACCCCCATTTTCAAACCCCAGCAGAATGCAAGGTGCAGCTTCGCCCCGGCGTGGGAGGCCGGCGTTGTGGGTGATGCAAAGTCATTTAAGTCAGAAATGGAACCTGGCCCGCCCTTGACTCCCAGCCCAGAGGTGGTCCGGTGGCCTATCCCCTGGCGTCTGGCCGCCTGTGGCCCCACTTTTTAGTGGGAGGCTCCAGAAAAGCAGCCGACCTCCAGCCTTGGAGCACCCCTGAGCGGCCAAGCCCGCGGAGTCACGGGCGAGGAGGGAGGGTTGGTGCGGACCCGCGGTGCCGCCCC